TTCATCATCATATCGTGTCATCCTCACAGTTACCATACCGTTACAAGCAATAGTGGTCGCTAATGACGTAGTAGTTGATACGACCTTAAACAAAACAAAAAAAATACAGATAACTAGTATTGGCTGCAAAAGAACAACGGCGTGTTTCAGAAGTGAAAACAATTCTAATGGTACTGTCAGCATCTGGTGTCATATAAAATATTCTCGGCAGATCATTGGAAAACGTAGGCTTGGAGAAGAGTATTATCATCGGCCTCCAGAAGTCGGTTATCATCGTTCATCCATCGTTCCTCGTACTCCTCGAAGTTCCTGCCTTCAAACATCTTCAAACTCTTAACATAATGGGTTATACAACTGCTGATGACACACATTGAGGGCCAGAACATCTTAGCGGATGGACAGAAAGGATTTAGCCCTGGATTGTAGGGAGAAACTCATTATAGACTCTGTAATTACGCAGAAAGTGCTTGGAAAGCAAAGACACTTGTTCGCATGCTGCATAGATTATGCTAAAGCATCTGTCATCGTGCCCCATCCTTTGCTTCTTTAGTTATTTGGATGTATATAAGGTCCACCGGTTTGCCCAAAACTTCCTGAAAACGATGACGAGACGATGGAATATAAAAAGTGTATCTCTTTAAAGGAAAACATTCTGTCCAGACAGATACTATTCATCCCCGGCAAGGGATTTTCCAGAGAGACTTTAAGCCCTTTATTGTTCTGCTTACCCTTGAATTCTCTGTCTACTATACTAAATTAATCTAATTATGGCATCGCCCTTAATAAAGAGAACTCAACCCTTCTTTGTGTCTCGCATCTGCTTTACATGAATGATCGGAAGCTCTATGCAGACACTGAGAATCATATGCGGCAACTAATTTGCCTGACGGAAATATTCACTGACGACATCAAGACGAAATTCAATTTCGGTAAGTGCAAGTGAGAGAATATCATTCAGTGTCCTCAGCAAGCTATAAATTTTGAAGATGCGTTCGTAAGCTTCCGCGGCCGGAGTCAATACATTCTTGACAATCCGGGATGAGCCGCGTCTCGGTCAATTGTGCTGACATTTCGGCCATCTTGCTATGGCCTTCTTCAGAGCTATACTGCTCAGCAGTATAGATACATAGATTATGCTAAAGCCATATGGTTATCCAAGAATGTATACATTTGGAAAATATTAATTCCTTCATGGAACCCCATGAAGCTTACAAATCTTGGATTTCCAACAGCCCCTCCGAATCAAACGCACTGTCACTAAGAACATACTAACAACTGAAGTGTGTAAACGATTACATGGACACTTAAAACCGTAATTCTCTTCTAGAAATATTGTGCCTTTTGTGTTCTTAAACGGAACTATACCTACCTCGACAACCTCCAGAGAACAATTCGAACCGCTATGACTCAACACCAAAACCATCATCCCTTTTCAAGTATTGAGTGTTTTACCCTTCCATGATCACAAGGAGGGCGATGTGATGTAGATCTCATTAATCTACACAGCTCTCAAATTGCAATACTCAGAAGATACTTTCTGGAACATTATGGGAGACTTCAGCAAGAAGTGAGCGCAGTTGACAATAACTATAGTCCTCTGAACTTGTAAAAGACTGATCCACCTTCAGCCTGTCGTTGAAATCGACGAGAAGATAACCTCATGGAAAGCGGGAGCACTGCACGGCAAGTCGACATTTCGGCGCCGCAAGCATGGCTTCAGAATGGGGATCTCTTTCCGGAGACAGAAGTCTTCATGATAGCTATTCAGGTCCAAGTGGTGCCAACGTTGAACTACAGAAAACATTCTGAGAGATTAAACCATCCATTCCGAAACTTGCAGAAGATGTGAGGTAGCAAGCGTAACTATCCAACACGTGACAAGTGTAAGTAGGAGCCTCACACAGTTGGAATACTGGAAGAGGCATGGTTAAGTGGCGAAGCAAGTCTTCCAATTATTGGCGATGATAACGGACTTACTCACCACTTCCTTACCTTACCACTTACTTGTCACTTCCTTGCCGCCTCAGAACATGCTTGAAAGTTGTGAGCACACTTTCTACTGGGATCTCTCCATTATCACTGACAGATAAGTCGACGGCAATAGACCCGATATAACATGCATCGCCAAAAACTAACAGTACGCTTTTCTTATTGATATATCAACATCGGCAAAACATCAAGATGGATGGCATTTACCGATCTCACCCATGAAGTCGCAGCTCAGTGCAACTTCAGCAAGGTGCCAACTGTGCCAATAATAATATCAGCCACAGGAGTGATCCCGAAAATGACCCATCGAGCACTAGAATGTCTTCACTTGAATGTCAGGAATATATACAATATGCAGAATGCAGTTATATTGAATGCATGCAGTAGAGTTAGAAACCACCTGAATCTTCAATGAAGTAATCGCACACCTGGTCATTATACCTGTGTGTTAAAGCTATGAATAATAATAATAATAATAATAATAATAATAATAATAATAATAATAATAATAATAATAATAAAACGCGAGATTGGCAACGTTTCAAAAACTAGACATTTTCCTCCCGGAGTTATAGAAAACGTATTTATATTGATACAGGAACTGAAGATTTAGTTTTTGTATTACTAAAAATTTGCACCCCCTCCGCGGCTCTACAAGCAAAAGGACAGCTCAGCAAAACGTCCGCATAGTAAAGCTAAATTTATGTCCAGAAGTAAAACAATTTTCGCATTTTCACGTTGGATCAGGGAACCTGAACAAAGCCTGATCGAGATGGGGGTCATTGACCCAGAAACTAAAGTACATTACTCATTACATGCATATAATTGTTTTATTTCAACAATACAAATGTAACTATTCCATTTAATATCATTGTTAAAATAAACATTTTTTAATGATCGGATTAGTCTCAAATTGCATAGACGCAGTTATGCAGAAGAAAGGATTTTAAATTTGTTCATTATTTAATGACAAAGTGTTGGCAGAACATTCTTCATATAAAATGAATGCACTTGCCAGTGGATTGCACTTCGTACGAATTCGTTGTATTTTGCTTCTTTGCTATTAGGACGGAAGCATTCAATTTTCCTCTAATCATTGGTAGTTGAAATTGCAACTTGTTATCTTGATGAAAACAGTTGTTGACCGACTTCAACCGCTATTTTGTCCACAATCCATTACATTGGTTTTCCTGAATTCTTCCTTTTTAAATAGTAGTAAACATTAATTACCGTTTTCTCCCATTGTGAAGCACTTAACCAAAAGGCGGGGATCAAACATTCTAAATAAATTTTACGAAATTAAATTTAAACATTTTAAATTAGAATTTGTAATTTACCATAACTAAAAATCAAAATCAAGAGACATTACATAAAAAACAACAAAAAAAACATAAATCTCGAAAACACAGCAACGAATCATCGAGTGAACAGAGATAAACAGGAGGAAAGCAACTTTCTGAACACACTTAGGTGGGGCAGCCCGAGATGAAGCACAGCGGCTGTTGCTCATCCAGCAGCTGAACGTGCCCATTCGTATAAAAATAATTAAATTCTAATGTTATTCAACACGATTTGTTGTGAATATATTATGTATCCAAGGTATAATTATACTATTATAATAGTTAATTTGAAAAAGTATGTTAATGAATATTTAAAACATTTCGAAATCATTGAACCAGGGGGGGGGGTATTTCTTTACCGGAAATGCCCGTAAGGCCCTGTACTTCTTATTCAACCTCGGAAGCACTGTATGGTAAAGAACTAAATTTCCGATTGAAGTGCAGCAGAAATGGGTTCAAGTAACCAACATTCTCTTGTATACATTAAAGAATATTATCATTCAGAAAACGAATCGGATGACACAGGTACGTGTGCAATATAGTTTTACATTTAGAGACGTACATATAATGACATTAAGTAATATTTTCCATGTAAATCGAACAGTGTACATGGCTACAAGATTTACAATATACAAAAACGTACGTTCCTGAATATTACTCCTAGAATTCTAAATTATGAAAGTCAAGGTTGATTTACAAATTTGAAAACGAAAGAAGTTAGTAGTGTTTTAAAGAGTTCTTAGGGGTTAGAGTTAGGTCTTACATAACCTAACAATAATGCAAGGCAACGTAATTCAGCATGTTATTAAATTTGCTTTCAGTAATTTTACAGAGAGAATGAACTTTTATTCTGCAAACATTGTCTCTTACAATGTCATAACTTGAATAATTTCAAAAGTTTGAAATGAACATTGACTGTTACAGCACATGTGTCCAAAACACAAGGGGATAATGAAGAATTCCATTGTTCAATCTGTCACGAAATATTACGTGGCGAATGGTAAGTTTCATATTTTGCTATCAATTTCATTGGAAGTTACTTCTAAATTAAATAACTTGAATTCAATTATCCTCCGTCAATATAAACTTAAATATTGTTGTAAAATGTTCAATAGACGTTGCCATAAAGTAAATTGTTCACTAACATGGCATTTTTATGTTCTTTGCATGTCATAACACTTGACAGTTCATGAAATGTCATTTAATGGTGTGGGATAAAGTATGGATGTATATTAGATTACAAAAATATAAGAAAATAAAGACACTAGGTCCAACTACAATTGTAAGCTTTGAAGGATTAAAAGCACGATTCCTGAAGTGAAACAATTCTTGCAGGGCCTGGGTTCATCATCAAAGGAAACTCCAGCACTTTCATTGGACATGCGCTTGCTGCCAAACTGGTTTTGTTTCAAAGGAGGACTTGTTGTTCCACCTTCATTCATTGGATGCGGTTGGACGGCCTTTGTTATTCAAAAGACAATGTATGAAACAAAAATTAGAAAGAGAAGGTATTAGTTCAATACAATCTGTCATTCTACATTATTTTATTAAATTTACAATAAACATTAAAAATAGATGCAGAAACACACACGCTCATTCTCTCACACTACAACCCATCAAATAGCCTATTTGTCATGGATCAAAAGCCTATTGACAAAAATTTGATTTATTTTCAGAATCTATTTATTAATCTTTAGGTATCTTTGATAATCTACAGCAATATGGCATTGTCGAGTTAATGTACTTGCTGTTTATTATGGAGAGAGAAGTTTTTGAAGCGACATGAGCTACAATCATAGAATAAAGTTATTATTGCTTTGAGGTATCTAGTAGCAAATACTATGTAGACAATACAGGACACTTTGAACCTCATTTCTCATACTTTTAATGGGAGACAATGCTTATTAGAGAACCTTGTGAGGTGACCTGGAAAATCGGCGACTAAACATCTCAAAGAAATGTTTCTTACACTGTAATCTACAGGATGAGATCTTTTAGAACATTCTATTTCATTTTTGCGAGAGAGAGGGGTGAAGCGAAGAGAGAGAAAGAGATGGGCGGTGTTCCGTTAGAATGCAATTACTTTCGAATCACTCTGCGAAACGTAAGTAAACTATACATCTTTCAAACTTATAAATTTCGTATTTGATATCGGAATGGTTGTGACTGATCGAGCCACTAGATTCAAGTGTCTCCCGTTATATCGCCAAGTGTCTTGTATTGTCTCAATAGTATTTGCCAGTAGATAAATTCAGCCACAAATCTAAAATTGGGACTCTCGGAGATAGATGATGATGATGCTCATGGTCATGATCATGATCATAGTAAGCTACTCCAAGTGAATTTAACAGTTGAAGTAATTTAAAGATCAAAGAAATCTGTTGATCATGTGATCAGCATATAAAACATTCATTGCATTAAAGATATTGCAAACACAGTATTGTGTTATGCTACTTCCCCGTAGCTTGAGAATCTCTAGCAGAAAGGAAAAAGGTAAGTATTTCAATACCTCTATCGAGAGGTTATTGTCTAGGCGATTCATTTCGTGAAGCGTATTTAAAGGATGTCTTTAAACTTCCTTTTCCAAGACCTCTACCTCCGCCTCGCCCACAGAACTAGTAAGCATTGCATGGTTATGCTTAAAACTCAGTACCCCCTGTAGTATCACAGTCAGAGATGATAATCAATAAAATAATAATACCATCATACAAAATGTCTTACGCAAAGTGAAAATGCGATGAAGATTAATGATTTATTTATGCAAATCGAATTTCAGGTTCTACAAAAGCAGATGAACCTAAGGAGACGAAGCCGCAGGAGCCTAGCCAGGAGCTTCCTGAGCACAAGTTTTTGAAGATGTGTCCTCATTGTGGTAAGTTGCATCTTACATCATTGCATGACTAGAATGTTAAACGACATGTTGTTGTTTCAGTTAAAGCTTCTCCTGTTGTCAACCCTGTTGTCCACACTTCGCCTGATATCACTCAGTTCCTTACACATTACCAGCAGCATAAACAAATCATATAATAAGCACAAACTGCTGTTCACATATGGCTTCGTCTAGATCGTAAGTCCTCATTCAAGGTGGTATTAGTGCCCATATATGGGACAGCAGCAAAAATAGCTATTCATATTAAACTTCTTGGCCAATATGTTGTTAGTAGTAGGGAGGGGGACAAGGAAAGAAAATTACAAAAAAGAAAAATTCAAAAAGAACCCGCAGCCGCTCAAAACCTTAAAACGTTAAACAAAAATAAATATAATTTGAATTGAAAACTGAACAATAACAATTACGCAATTTAAAATTGCTCAAAAACTATCATTACATGCTGTGAAATTTTTGAATTTTGGTGCAGTCATTGAATTTTTCTCAGTATATTAACTGACGTAATGTTATTTATAACTTTTCTTCTGTTACAGTTGATCTTTCATATGTGTCAAGTGATTGATATGTTATATTAAAAAAGGATTTTCATTAAGATTTCAAGCAAAAGCATCAAAATATACAATCCATACATTGATTTCGTGCAAAGGTGAACTTTTCACCATTATTGATGTATTTTTTTAAGAGTCAAATAAAAACGCAATAATTATCTGAAATCTAATGTTTCAAATGTGATCTTATTTTAAACCTTCCCTAGCTATACGTAGTGTGGCGAAACAGCGAGCTGCATTGCCAGACATGTAGAATTTATTACGTTTTATTTAATTGGCTGTCCGGTGACGCCGCCTCCATGTCAAAGTTGCCGACGTTTCGGTCGCCATTTTGTGACCTTCCTTACGAAGAGAATTCATGCAGAATGGCGAACGAAACGTCGGAACCTTTGCCATAGACGCGGCGTCACCCAGACAGCCAATTAAATACTGACTCCGGCCGCGGAAGCCTACGCTCTCCCTTATTAAGCTTTATTCCTTATTTTGAGTACTGGCCGCCCCCTATCCACGGGTCCTTTAGGCCCCTTTGGGCCCCTTCTCACGGCGCCACTCAGCAGCGCTGCCGAGAAGCGGCAGTGTCCTGCCCACACAGCCACCGTCGGCCGCGTCCGGGGAAGGTTTCGGGAGTCACGCCGCTTTCGGCTCATGCAGCCCGACAGAGAAGAAAAGAGAGTGGGCATGTAAACGCAAAGATGTTATAATAGATGGAGGTGGCGTGGCCGATCTTTCCCATTGCGGAAAATGAAGCCAGCCCCTTGCAAGCTCGGTTAGCCTTCCTGCTAAACACTGACCGAAAAGCCTGAAATCCATTTCACCCATATAGTATCTTCTTTATTCAGATATTGATATTTCCTCAAGAAAGAGTTTTGTATACAATTATTTGTAATTAATAGGCAGAAATATCGAGATAATAAAGCAAAACGGACCTGGGAAAAATATAACACCTCGCCAAAATTCATTAAGTGGCAGAAAAAATATTTTTTTAAATTATTTTATTTATTATGTGAAACTGAATAGTATTTAATTTATGTGCTTGATAACATGTATTATTGAAACAGAATTGCGCAAGGAGCTTTCAGAATGTGTTGCATTTAATATACCTAATGTTGAAACTAATGTTACATAAATTGACTACTAGTGAAAACTGCTAATCATGTTCTAAATTTGACATAAGAAATTAATTAATAGTTTGTCTATTCTGAAGGAGCATGAAAATTTTAAAAATATGTAAGGAAATGGTAATGAATTGCCAGAGCAAATCCAACAAGCTTAATTCCAATTAATTGCCCTAAACAAAAGTGTTCATAAAAACGGAACTGAAGAGAAATTCACATACAAGAATAAAATTATAAATTTGCTGAAACTTAGTTATCCTGAAGCCAAATCAATTTAGAAATTTCCAAAACAAATATTTTTCTAATCCCGATTCAATATTTTATTTGTAAAAACAAAACAAACACATATAATTAATATAAATAGCATTTCTTATATTTCTAAGGAGCAAGTAATTCAAAGAGGGAATATATTTTTCATTTGAAAGGTAATCAAATAATACAAAATATATTTTTCAGATGAACTGTTTTATTTATTTCAATGTTTACTTTTGTGACATTACTATTTCATATAAAGCAAAATAATTTTATAAAAATTTTACCTTTTAGATTCTAGCCCTTACTTTTTAAGAAGAAAAAGTATTTGATAAAAGGAAATGTTCGTATAACTTTAGATTTCAAAGCCACAGTCTTCTTTATTCAGAAAACTTTACGTTCCAATTGATCTTTTTCTTCCAAGATCTGTGAGGAAAATAAAATTATCGCTTTAACATGCTGGGGAGAAAAAATTCAGCTTTTAAATTACATACAGGTAATATTGTAAAAACAAATAAATATTTTTGGCAGAAGTTTCTCTAGCATTAAAGACTCAGATGCAATTGTGGACGATGCGTCCTGTGATGAACTTGGGGTTGCATCGTCGTCGTTATCACTACTGCAATCAGAATTTGATTGTTTTCCATAAATTATTATATAAATATATATAAAAATTATCCTTACACAACACATTTATATTTTTTTATGAACCTTATGACTTTGCAGAGTGGCACGTTAGTCTCTCAGAAGGTGGCTTTCTTTTCTAAAGGGAAACAGGGCTTTTTATTATCAATTACATTTGTGTTGATAGAAACCAAATCATTGGGAAACAAATGAAGAGGACAACACTTCTAACATCTATTATGATAGTGGTGAGTATGAAATTTACGTTTTCTTTTGTTACAAGCTGCAATTCTAGCTACCAACACTGTAGTTCTGTTGCACACCAGCAAGATGCTACTGCGAAGATACTTTCCTGGTGCGCTGTACATTGTAAGTAGGTTCAGAAAGATATTGTATCCCTGATATTAATTATATATCTTTCGTAGTCAATTGAAAATGGGCTAGGAAAGCAATGAATTAATTTGGAATTTGTGAATCCCTTAATGAAAGCCAGAATGGGCAAAAACAATGAAAATATTTTTTTGTACTTTTTTAAATCATTAATTACTTTATAATTTTCTGGGTCGAATAATCCAAGTTTCATCTTAATATATCATCTCTACGATATTTTTTTAAATTTTGAAGTTTATGTAGCATGGAAGTGGGAGTGGCCGCTTTGAAACATCATGGGTGTTGCTTGAATGCCATGGATGTTGCTTTTCGGCTATTGTTGTTAATAATAGTTTGCTTCCTAGTGTTGGACACACTTTTTCTGATAAAAATTGATGATGACTGATGTTTGTGTTGTCCCAACATATGGACCAGAAATGCACTGAAAACTTGAGCAGTTATTTCCCGACAATTTTTTTTTTTTTTTATCTTTAGGGAACATTTTCTCAAAAACTGCTCAATGGAGATATGCTCAAATGTTAACAGAGCAAGTAGCACACCAGTTAATATACTTTAAATTTATTAAAATTATTTATAAAATGTTAAATACTTTAGACAATATTCTTATAAATGTTACTACTTTTAAGGACATAACTGATTACAATGGATAAAAATTTATATTTTAAAAACTAGTAAACAGTTCTTTAAATCGGCTTTGTTATAGTTATTAAAATTTGATAATAGGAGTGGCAAAAATATTACAGGTAAGATTAATGTTTTTTTCTAAATCTTATCTTTTGAAACTGACAAGTTTAATTTTCTTAATTTAAATAGTGGTGAGTGTAGTTGTTTATAATTTTTAACTATTAATTGTAATAGTTATAATGTATTAATAGTTATAAATACAATTTGTTTTTTCAAGTTATTGCATGTTTTCAGGTGGTTGTGATATTTGTTGAAACAATTATCAACAAACACAAAATACAAGAAGCCTGGACAATAACCAAAATGAATTGCAACTGACAATATCCTATGAATGGATGTGACAGTGAAATAACTTTTGTTCATTAGGGGTCAGTTCAATTTTTTGCACGGATTTAAAGAGGGGCCAGGATTATTTTGGTGCTATGAACAGTGAGAATTTTGAAATGCAAGTGCATTATTAATTTCCATTATATTCAAAGTAATAAATTCATTCTTCATCAATATTTATATTGTTTTTGCAAAATTTCCAGACCAAGCACAGTTCATTCCTGGCATTAAAAATATTGGGCCTTATTATTTTTGACATTGCTTCATTTGTTGTACGTTGGTGGAAGAAAACCTTTATCATGATGGAAAAATGAGTTAGTGATAAGTAACCAGTAAAGATTAAGGGTTGAATTTGAAATATAAATAATTTTAACAATAAATCCTTTTATAGAGGTCGTTACAACATGATATGGTGCCACAAAATAACGCCACTGTTGTTCTCTTGAGGCAACAATGCTAGCTTCATAGAAGGCAACTAAAAATGATGGCTCTTATAATTTACATTATCAAAATATTGAATGAAGAAAATATGTTTCAGATGGGTTGTTTGATTTTTTCTAGATATATTGTTGACAAACAATTAGAAGACAAGGGGCATCAAGTATTATGCCATCCTCGTGTTTTTTCAATCTTATAGATGAGCAAGTATGATCTGAGGCAAAATATTATAGTTTCAAGGTCAGGAAGTGTACAGGTTTGGGAGGAATCATTATGTCAGACATGCCTAACTTTTTTTAAGTGAATATTTAACTTATGAATAGCAACATTTGCATCTTTTGGATATTGATATAAGACCTTAATTTTCAGTTACAAAGACTTGAACAAAAATAACAATAGTTTTTAAAATTAACAGTTATAAATTAAAAACATTTTAATTATTAGTTATTTTCACATCTGAGTACATGTATTTTAAAACAATTCTTTTTAGAATTTTTCTGTGTATAGCATATTGCTTTTCATTAATATTTATTATTTTCAATATTTATCTCAGTTATTTTAATTGTAATGTGCAAGCTGATATCATCTAATTTTCTTCTTTTTGATGCATATTCTTGTAGGTGACTCCATAAAAGTGGAATAATTATGTAGAGCACACAGAAAGTATAATAAAATAATATTGGAGGAAAGAAATCCAAGATGCTCCAAAAGTTGATGAAATTGTAATAAATTTGGAGGACTTTTCTTGAGAAGAGGATGACA